GACAGCGTCAACCTGAGCGGTGCCGTCAAGGGCGTCAACACCGATATCCACGACAAGCGTCAGCTCCTTAACCTCGACACCACCACCAAGTCCGTCGACGGCCTTACCGGCCTCAACTCCAACCAACTCACCGCAGATGCCACCAACGGCCAGGTTCTCGACACTGGCAAGCTCCTCGACCTTGACCTCAACCTCAAGCGCGGCGTCCCCGTCGTCCAGGACCTGCCCGTTGGCGGTGCCGTCTCTAGCATCCTTGACGAAACCCCCGTTGTCAGCGGCGTAACCGGCACCCTCAACTCCGTCACCGGCGACCTCAACCCCGTCACCGAGTCCGTCTATAAGGTCGCCAAGCCCGTCACTGACGCCACCGAGATCCTCGACGTTCGTGCCCCTCTTGTTGACGAGGTCAAGAACATCGTCGGTGATGTCGATGTTCCCCTTGTCAAGGACGTCCCCGTCGTCAAGGACATCTAAACGCTTTTCTTACCTTTTTTTTAGAAAGCATATCTCTAACTGAGTGGGTTTTGCTTTTACAACTTGTAAATCAATTACCCCTCCACTATACACATGATCAAAAAAAAGTGCGAAGAAGCGTGGCGTGCGCGCGCGAGAGAGTCAGAGTTGGTCTGGGGCTGAGTTGGGATGAAGATGGGAACGCAAGAGCAGGGGAGGAATGTAGTCAAGTAATCTTTTTTCCATGGAAACAATTGATACCTCTTTTTCTTATTGAAAAACATGCTATTTCTCCAATCTAACTTTTCCCTTGTGACACACACACACACAAAAAGGCAATCCCATGGACAGCATTTACAAATTCACCTGTTTGCGATCACCAGCTTACACATGACGCGATCATCCAGCCCAAAAACCCAATAATCATCCCCGTGTCCCCCTTCGTAAGCACCGTCGCCACGCCCCCCCCCTGCCCCCCAACCCTCATCACCTCAAACACGGGTCTCAATGCCGATACGACATATCAATAGAAATAGCACGTCAGAGGCCCCAAGTCGCCGATTGAGCACAAAGCAGCGTAAGTCCTAAACAAAGCACCCCCCCCTCTTCCCCGTTTTCCCCTTTGATTCGGTCCTTTTTGCGCTTTTTTGGCAGCGCGGCTCTCAAACGCGGTTCGAAGAAGCGTGAGGGCAAAAAAAAGGGAAAAGATCGGAGTTTCTTTTTCTTTTTCGATAGAGTGGTTAGACGAGCTTATGTGTACGAAGCGGGAACAGAGGAGGGAAAGGGAAAGAAGTCATGTTGATCCAACGGGCGGACTGCGGAGATATGTCGTATTTATGCATATCAGTCAGTGTTTCGATAGCGATATCGTTTGCTGAGGCAAGGGGAATGGCGAGCTGCTGTTTGACGGTTGAGTTGCATTTCTTTTTGGAATAAAATAGATAGATACATTAAAGCTAGGTGAGTAAGTGTATACGCGATAACCATTTACTCTTCATTAACGTACGTCATACACTAGAATCCCTATCGCATTGCCAACATTCCAAAGAAGAAAGAATATTTAATGTCCTCCGGTCGTAGGCAGCTGTACCGCATTGTTAGCAAAGTTATGCATATTCATATTGACGGGTCACCCAAAAACTCACACCGAGATAGACTTTGAAAGAGTCGTAGATGAGCCATTGGAAAGCAGTCAGAGTACCAATCATGAAGATGCGGACAGGAAGCCCGTTCCACAGACCAGTAAAGCCGATTTTGCTGTATATCCGGCCGATAGCCTGGCCCGCTCCCTCACCAGGCTTGCGATCGTTGTTGAGTTTCGAGACCATGACATCTGATATACGTTAGCGATCTCTCTCTTGCAAAGTATAAAATCATAAACAACATACCTGCGGGATGCGATACAACGGCACACCCAATACCCGCAATGTAACCTCCCAAGAACGAAACACCAGTCTGTTGCAGACCACCGTACGATTCCTTCGGCTTGCCCAAGAAGCGATAGATCTGGGTGACTGTCTCCTCGAACGTCGCAAACTTGACCATGGTGTACGGGATCTGGCGCGCCCACAATGGGTATAGTCCCTTGTACAGGCCACCAACACCCTCCTCCTTGATGACCTTTGCCCACCCTTCCCTCAATGTGTGCGCAAATGGCGGCATGGTAGTCTGCATGCGGACCTTGATGGCCTCCATAGGGCAGAGCGCAATATCAGCAAGAAACTCCGCTGAAGCTGAAGCAGCAAGGTAAACAACCTGCTTTGGTGCACCAGGCGCAAGCTTATCACCGTAAAGGTACTTGAAGACTTCGTAGAAACCATACTTGCCAGCGCCTTGCATTGAGTAGCCAATGAAGGTGGGGGTCCAACCGAAGAAGACGCCGCGGAGACCTTCTTTGGAGTAGATCATTTTCCAGGCTTGGGTGTTGGATTTGTAGAGGGAAGAATCGACTTGGCGCCGGCATTTCACCTAGACGCAGAAGCATCAGCACATGGGTTCTTGGGTAGGACGATTTCACTACTCACCAGATCAAGAGGGGTAACCATGGTGTGCGTAGGACCGCACGCGATAACTCCACCCAATGTACATGCCGCAAAGTAGGACCCGGAAAACAGTTCAATCTTCCTTTGCGGCTTCATCGCGTCTAGTTTGTTCGCCATGATGTCGGCTGTGCTTGCAAGGGCTCTCTTTTTTCTTTCAGTCGGCTCTTAAATATCCAGAGTTTCTTCTCCAGTGCGGCTCTATCCGGCACGTAGTTGGCACTATCACCTCGGCCGAGCGTTGGGAAGCACCTCGCTTTGTGTCTGGTATAATAGTGTCGCGTGCTTCTTTTGTGTTGCTAACGAGGACAAAACTAGAAAATCAGTGGATAACCGGGTCGGAATGAAGAATTGAAACTAGAGGAAAATCAGTGATCTGGCGTGGTTCTCAGAACATACAACTGCAAAATCGAAGCCTCGTTATGACGAAGCTGCAAACTAGGTAGTAATGATAGTGGGAACCTTGTCCGTCCGCAAGTTCCGTTGCGATGACGTAGCTGTTGCGTGTGGGGACGCGCGACACCACGCTGACGAAGCTTGGCTAAGATGCTTATCTTCGCCCTGTCTCCATAACCATCCAACTGGGTTTGCACCACAGGTCTAGGGCTAGTATGATGAAATCGTAGGTAAGCTATGCCAAGTAAACCTCACAGATATCGCGAGCAAGACGAAACGATAAAAAAACAAAAGCTTCTGTAAAGCATGCGTGCTTAAGAAAGCGCTCTCTCTACCGTGGAAAACATTAGTATACAATACAAGGCGCGCCTGCACCGCGCACTCTTTGTCTCTGGCGACTTCTGCGGAGAGTGGACTTTTTAGTTTTCTCTCTAGTTTATCTTTTGATCCCCAGATCTTGGCTGAACCTCTGAAGGTCTTTATGACTAATCGAACTTTGGTAGTGAGTCGGATGTTGAGGAGGTGACTGGTGTCGAGCGATGATTATAGTAACCTAACGTTGAGGGCCTGTTCGTCTCCAGCTCCGGTTCTCAGTCGCTATACCGAATGGGCATCGGCTAGACAACCGAGCTGGAAACGGCGTCGTGTTCGGAATAACGGCTGTCTAGAGGGGACACAACGGAGCTCCGTTGTGTTAGCGCTCAAATACTAAAAGATAAGCACTGTCTAGTACTGATCTACCCTATAATTTCTCCTCTTGAGGCAAAACGGGGGTTCGTTTTCCAGCCAGCCTCAAGGCCTCTAGCCAAGCCTCAACTGCTCTTGTCGCTGTAAGACGACAGTTGATTAACAGGAGATTTTTATGACTAGTCAGACTTTAGTAGTGAGTCTAGTATGGAGGAGGTAGCTGGTGTTGAGTGATAATCATTGTCTCCATAGGCATCCCTAGGTTAGCATCGTAGGTCTAGTGTCAGTGCAAGGTAGACTATGCTAAGTAAACCTTGTCCTTCATAGAATGTGTAGACAGACATCGTAAGCAGGAGAAAGCGATAAAAAGCAAAGGTTTCTATAGGGCGCGCAAATAAGCGATCTTCCTACCGTGACAATAACTAGTCATGATTCGAGGTAGTGGTATCTACATCATGTCCATGAATCAGCCCAGCATCAATCTATCCTAACGCGCCCAAGCAACCACGCTGTTCAGAAATCGTAAATCATCAGTCGACACCAGCTACCTCCTCCACGTCCGATTCACTACCAAAATCCGACTGGTCGTAAAGGTCTGCTGATAGACGATTGTCTTCTTGCGGCCATGAGTGTAATCGTGGCTCAATATCTGTTTGCCACGCGTATATACGAGCACTATCGTTTGCGTCCTCCCTGTACATGTCCAAGTTTGGATCTGGATCCTCACTGTGTACCAACTCGAAGATTTGTTGAAGGAGAAACTGACAGGATGAAATGAGCGGAGTCATATGAATCCTCAGCATACCCGCGTCCTTCTCGAAAATGATACGCTGCATCATTTCGCCCAATAATTCACGAAGGGATCTCCATTTGAAAGCCACCATATCCGTGGGCCATTCGTGATCTTTGTAGAGCTCGCTCACCAGTAGTTCTGCGCTCTGGCGTACACTCTCTAAGGGATTAAGAAGCAAGGCAGGTGCCCATATACGACTCCTGGCCATGACCCAATAGAAGAAAACATATGGGTGCCGTTGTTCGAAGATTGCCTCATTTTCAGCCTTCAGAAGACCGATAAAGAAGTCCAAGACAGCTATCCCACTCGGTAGGCGTTCTTCTTCGAGTTGATTCGCCGATGCGATTGCTTTCGACACCGTGGTGATCAATCTGGTAACACTCTCGGCTGTTGGAGACGTTTCACAGAAAGATAGCGCCGCTCGTACGTATGCGTCGCAAAAAGGCGGATCAAGACCTATGCCATCATTGATCGTTTTGAAAAGATTCGACTGAGCATGCGGGTCCGTCCAGCCAATCATCGTTTTGACAATGTCCCCAGGATAGAAGTATTCCGCTTTGGTCAGGTCAAACATTTCCATAGCCTTGTCTAGCACCGCTATCGCCTTGAGTTCTGGATCCCAATAGAATAGCATCTGTCGCTCTCGATGGGTTAGTGGGAACTTGAGGCATTCTCGATCGAACGTAGCTCCACGGTTTTCGATCAGCGTTGAAGGAACCAGTGGCAGGCTGGTGTCCATATGCGAAAGTAGAGTCGAGAAAAATTGAACGAGCCGGTTATAGATGCCTACTTTCTTGCTCAGAATCCTCCAAAACTCTGGGTAATCGTCTTGTAGGCGCCTATGCACATGAATCGAAAGCAGCTTGATGCAGAAATCCAAGAAACCATGGTTCAAAAACACAGCGATTTCAGCATGACCAATCTCGACAATTTGAGTCAAGGTCAAGTAGAAGTCGTCCCATCCTCGGATGCTTTGATAGCTATCGTCTGCAGTCTGACGTAGTCTTTGGATGATGTCTACAAGCAACCCGTCCTTTGTAGCCATAGCTGAAGAATCAGAATCCATGTCGTTCTCAGTTGCTTCGAGACCGTACAAATTCGGTTCT